TGTGTATGTATGTATGTACATATATATATATATATATATATATATATATATATATATATATATATATATACATATATATGTGTGTGTGTGTGTGTGTGTGTGTGTGTGTATGTATATATATACACACACATGCAAAAATACATATTACATAGTACATACATATATACATACATACATATATATATACATACATACATACATATATACATACTTACATTTATTCATACATGCATACATACATACTCACATGCATACATATATAAATATGTATGTTTATGTATGTATGTGTGAATATACTGTATCTATTTTAGAACTTTTCAAAAATAATTTTCTAGGCTTTTAATGATATTCCTATTTCAGTATTAAAAAACTTAATATTCTATTTGCAGATCAAACCAACATTAAACTTGCACAGTATTTTCATTTTCCCATTCTTGCAAATGAGATATATTAGGATTCATTTTAACCAAATCTTAGTTCAGTACGAACTGAAATTCTTTTTTACTCTAAAATTCCTCGCTGATAATACAAATATAATGTATTCTTCTTTATATTGCTACTTCCAGCATGACTTCGTGAGTCCAGTGTTGGGATTCGAACCTGTTGCTTTGGTTCCGTTCGAACCCAAGCTTATCAACACCACTCTCCTTAGCCGACAACAGGTGAGTTTATAGTTTTTTAAGTTGCTGAGAAGTGGAAAATATAGGTGATTGAATAAACCCCATATGCAATCCAGCAGCATGATGTGAAATTAATCCAATCGCCCCGTATGGCAAGAATACATGCCATGCCCGCTGTAATACAAGTTTATTTATTGTATTTACACATAGATGGCTCTACAAGAGTTATGCCAAGGAGTCGGTTATTAGTCCTTCCTATCTCACCTGTTTACCCTTTTCCTTGAAAGTGTCTTTTGTATTATTACATTGTCTTAAATATTGCCGAGATTTTAATAACAATTTAATTATCAGAACATCAATAACAATAATAACAGCAGCGATATCAACTGTATTCAAAATAAAAACACATTTTCCCGCCAATTCAAGGAATGGGGAAATCAGGATCGGTCACTAGGGCTACTGATAGAGTCCTTGTCGGCTAAGCACATGTGGAGCCATCTGTATATAAGAACATTCACAAAAATACAGAGAACAGAACATAAGTCCGAGGCGGTTGGATTAACACATGGTAATTTTAGTGACAAAATTCTACGGCGGTCCGTTACCAGCTTTCGTTACATGTCGATTTATGACTAAACTAAAAAAGAAAAAAAAATGTATTCAGAGTGAGATATGATACTTATATTGCTCGTCAGTCAAAGGTTGACGTGACAGATTAGGCTCTTGACAGTGATATGGATCCATGCAGAAGTATATGAATGTTAGAAATGGAAAGAATCTATGCACAATCGTACAAGAGAAATTATAAAAATAAAATGAGAACACGAATAAGCACACGCACATACATGTGTTTATATATAAAATATATATAAATACATATATATATATATTTACATCTGTATATATATATGTATATATATAAGTATATATATATATATATATATATATATATATATATATATATATATATGCATATATATATGTATGTATGTGTGTGTGTGTGTGTGCGTGTGTGTGTGTGTAACACAACACGTGCACTCTTGGATTCGAACATTCTCGAACCACCGTCCTTTTTACAATGAAATGTGAACTAAGAAAATAAAAACACAAAACATACATAACCAGACTAAAGCCTTTTCGCCTCCCCCCTCCCCTTTTACAGTGTGAGGCACTGAACGCCTACCATGCTACAGTGAGAGACGTAGTTGGAAACGAACTCAAGAATCAGGAACGTTTCGAAGGTTACGACTGGGTTATAAGGAAGACCGAACCCCTGTTATGCTGAATCCGGACAAACGTTTATGTAAACGTTTTCTTGCTGAATCCCTTCAAGTCATTCACTTTTGATTTTTCTGTGGATGAGGATGTATTCAAGAAATTATAAAGTGTAGAGGTTATAAAGTGTTATAAATGTATTTTTAAGTGACCTTTAGAGTGGCTGACTATTGGTAAGAAGATATTAATATCGTACATAAGATGAAGCTTAAACATGGGAACTTGTCTCCCATCATCATCGTTATTATTATTATAATCATAAAAATGGTAATAATAATTATAACAATAATAATAATAATAGTAGTAGTAGTAGTAGTAGTAGTAATAATAATAATAATAAAAAAATAACAATAATGATAATGATGATATTAGTAGTAGTAGTAGTAGTAGTAATAATAATAATAAAAAATAATAATAATAACAATAATAATGATGATGATGATAATAATAATAATAATAATAATAGTAATAATAATAATAATAATAATGATAATAATAATAATAATAATAATAATGATAATAATAATAATAATAATAATAATAATAATAATAATAATAATAATAATAATGATACTAGTAATAACAATGATAATAATAATAATAAT